TGTTCTCATATCACTTTCTTCATTCAATTATGCCTCACAAATGAAGTCAGAGCAAACTCATATTTTCTTATAGTCTGCCACCAGTTATAGTTTTAATTAGAGTCACAATTATCCCAACAATGTCTAGTTCCACATGATTTTAATATAGCACAACTTAAATGGAACACAGCTGACCTTAAACCAACTGAGATGCTTTTGACAAGATGCTAACTTTATATAGGAGTTTCAGATGTATTTTATCCCTCTTTCCAATTACCTTTAAAGCTTTTTTACAATATCTTATTATACAACACCAAGTTAGTTCATGTCATGAAAATAATATTTTATAAGAAGAAAACATTTAGTATTTCAAAGATTAAAAGTAGAGTCGTTCCATTGAGCGCAGACAACAGCACAACTATTGCCAGAATTGTTGTCAGCAAGGAATATTTATTGTGACTCCAACAATGTTCTAAACTCAGTGTCAAAATAATGGACATTGATCCAATAGAATTTAGTATTCAAAATAGGACTGTAAGTATGTGAGTGTACATGTGTAACACACCCAAAGCAGGTTTCACACTAAATCATATTAATTATCAGGTGTGTTCTAGAAAACTTTGTCACCAAAAAGATAAAAACAAACCACTATGTCTTTAGGCTATGTTTCACAGTATTATCCTGCAATTTTTAAGACTTACATTTTAAATAAGATGAGAATCAATGAATATTTTAAATTTAATGCTTTAAATAAGCAGATCTACTGTCGGTTTACTAAATGGGTTCTCATAATGATGGATTACCTTTAAAATCTAATGGAAATAAAATCATATAACATATAAATAGGAAAAATTACTAAATAAGGATAATACAGTTTTGCCTAAGTATCTCTGTATCAACATCACATAATCAAGGCTAATTATGCTTTTGAAACACTACCTAATTCACATTTTAAATTATGAACCCAGCAAGTTTTTGTTTTGTTCTCTAGATCAAGAAAATCCATCTTTTAACAACTGGATACATTTACTAAATATAGACCCAAACCTAAATTCAAACATTTAGATATTTAATTATTGAGATACTTTAAATATACATATTTCCACTTTTAATAATGGATAACCTTAAAACGAATCCTGAGCCATAAATGTGTGCAACTGTTCTACCTAATGATAAAGCCTTTGCATAGAATTTTCTTCAGAGCCTCTCCTACATCCTTGTTCCGTAGGCTGTATATCAGGGGGTTTAGCATAGGAGTCAGGGTCGTATAGAACACAGAGAGACCTTGGTCTTGTTCTGAGGTGCGAAAAGAACTAGGAATCATGTAGATGAACATAGTTGGGCCAAAGTATAGAAGCACTACCATCAGATGGGAAGAGCAGGTGGTGAAAGCTTTATTTCTCCCCTTTGAAGAATGTATGTGGAGAACACTGAGAAGGATGAGTGTATAGGAAGTGAGGATGAGGGCAAAGGGTATGAGAAGAAATAAAATTCCCATTACTAAAACTACTTTTTCATAAGCTGACGTGTCCTCACATGATAGTTTGAGCAGTGATGGGAGCTCGCAGAAGAAAAATGATGAATTTCTCTTGAGCCACATCTGGGAAAATGCATAGTATAGGTAGTATGAGCTACAGAATTAATTGCTCCCCCAATCCAGGACACAATGGCCATCTGCAGGCAAACTGTAGGGTTCATAATAAGCATGTATCTTAAAGGATTACAAATAGCCACATATCTGTCATATGCCATAAGGGTTAACAGAATACATTCACTCCCTCCCAAGGCAAAGTAGAAATATACCTGAGTCCCACAGCCAATGTATGAAATGCCTGATGTCCCTGAGAAAAAGTTGGTTAGCATCTTGGGCACAGTTGTAGATATGAGGGAGATGTCCATGATGGAGAGCTGGCTGAGCAAAAAGTACATTGGACTGTGGAGACGGGGATCCACACAAATGAGAAGGGTCAGGATGGTGTTTCCTGTAATGGCAACAAGATAGACAAGGAGAATGGTGCCGATGAGTAATTCAATGTGCCTCATTCCTGGGAACAGTCCAAGGAGGGTAAAACCTACCACAGAGGTGGCATTTGCTTTCCTCATGTTTGTCTAAAACAAGAACAAAAAAGAGAACATCAGCGGCCCACAGGAAAGTATTAATAATGAAAAATATTGCCGTTATTAGTCTCTGGGCTAAAATGAACTGTGACCCTTCTGCCCGAGATCTGAGTCAGAACTTGGAAAGAAACAGATTTTAGTTAACATTTGACTACATCATTAAAAATCATGACCAATTCTAATAAAGGTTGGTTTATTAAATAATGACCCTAAAGAGTTACCTTTTACCTTCTTGAATATAGTCTTAAAATAGGAATGTCAGAACATCCATAACGTTTGGCAGACATATTTGATAATATGTTGGATATATTTTAACTCCAGTGGCTCTTTTCAGTTGCACCACATAAACACCCAACATACTCCATGAAGGTGAGAATAGGCACAAATCTGCTCGACTTCTTAGTCAGTACACGTATGTCTTCAGCCTAGACATTGGGTAACTTGTACCCCTCTAAATCCCTTTGAAATTGATAAGTAGCTTCTCACATATCTCCTCAACCATCTGAAGCAGTTGGCAGTTAATTTACTTTTAAAAATTCCAGTGGTGTTTTGTGTAAAGTATAATTTCTCTCTCAATTCCAATAATACAATACATTCCCCTTCTCTGCAGGATGGCTAGGAAACATGATTATTTTTCTAATTTTGGATTGCTATCCAGAAAAGTCTAATTTTAGAAAGTGAAGTCTCTACATTTTTACGGATTGACCGAAATGGCAGCTTTGGTTTATTATTTGACCTGGGAGATTCATTCTCATTGTAGAGCATGAAACCAAGATGGCCTGGTTGGCTGACACCAACCAACTCTTATGTTCACCAAATGAATTTTATACCACCCTTTATATTTTTGTTCTACTTTGTAAAATTAAAAACAAAAAAAGGTTGGTTTACTCTGAAATTTGAAACAGTATTTATTTGTTTGCTCGTTAGTCCTGTATGGAAAAAAGAGGTGGTTGTGTGGGAGGATTCCATGTATTTTCCAACACACCATGTTTTCTAACAATTTAAAACAGAATAATTTCTTACTTAAATACTAAAATTATTCCACTCCCTTTTAGATGAAGGCATCTGTTTCAAGTTGACTGTCTATTGTAGTAACAATGAAGGTTAGAGAAGGAAAGCCCAAGGGCTCTCAAAAGAAGTAGGAATGAGATGTAGCATCACCTGGGCAGGACCTGCGATGAGTAGTGCAGGTGGCATAGGGCTGTGTAGACCGTTCGCGAGTTGTCCTTTCTCCTCCTCTATGAGTCATAGAGCCCTGGTGGCGCTGTTGATAAGCACTGAAGTGCTAACAGTTGTCAGCTGTTCAAATATGCCAATCATTCCACAGAATACATATATGAGACTGTCTGCTCCCACCTCAGATGCCCTATATGGGGCCACTATAAATCAGAATTAGCTTGATGTAAGTAGGCTCGGTTTGGGGGGATGGGGTTGGAGAAGGTTTGAGCAACTATTAGGTTTAGGATTGCCAGACCGGAAAACCATGTGTTTCCAAACACACTAGGTTACTATTCAGTGTAATGATTCATGGGTTGCAGGTAGGAGGAGGGAGGGGAAGGATGACTATAACTAGAAAATAGGTCTGCATCTTGAATGGCATGCTAAGAAATTTGGACCTTATTCCATTACACATGGAAAGGGACACTGTGCAGTAGAGGTTCTTGAGAGAGGACAGATGGTGAACAAATCAGAACTGTTGTTACAGAAGGTCACCCAGAAACATGTGACGATGTTGAAGTATAAAGGAAAAATCATTGCTCCTAATATTGTTTTTAAGCCTGAATTGCAAACATACATGAAAATATGTTCATTTATATTTAGTCTGTTTTGTCATTTTATTGACTTACCTGATATATGGAAAGGCCTAGAGATAATATTCATGTCCAGTCATCATTTCATATTTGGAATGCCCTGGAATATGCTGGTTCTTCACCCTAAAAAACCACCCTTTACTGCCTCAGGTAAGTGATTATCACATTCCCATGTTACCTGTCTCCCTCGTGAGCTCGAGTTCCATGGCCACGTGAGCTTGGCTGTGTATGAGGACCAGTGAGTCATCCATGTGTCATCAAGAGCCTGTGTGCTCCCGAAAGTGGTTCCTTAGAGACTTCTATCCCTGGCCTTCAAGTATCTCGAGTGTATTTTATCAAATTGAACATCCCCAAAATAATATCTAGTGAATAATTACTGGCTGGGAATATCATTCCTTTTCTCCTACTCTGCACCATCTTCTAATAATTATGCTACAAATGCAGACATTGTATGGTTTCCTGTAAAAGTTATACCTTTGTCATTGTTCACATCCACAACCTAGGAATACAGCCTAGGAAAACACAATTTTGGACGACATAGTGTCTGAGAGATTAAGCCTTTACCAGAAAATAAAGTTAAAGAATATCTCTCCTTCAAGTACTAGGGGATAAATCTTTCATCCTCAACCTCAATAAGGGGTGAATAACATTTATTGGAGATTAGTAATATTGTATCCACTTAAAATGGCAACCATCTGGGAAAAAACAGAATTGCAAGCCTGAAGAACATCTTACACTTTTTAAGCAAATGATGTTGTTTTCAAGTTGATTTCAATTTATAACAATCCAACGTACCACATACTATCCGGGGCCATCGTCACAATCATTTTTATGTTTGAACCCGTTGTTGAAGCCACTGTATTGATCCAGCTCACTGAGGGGGCTCCTCTTTTGTTGATGACCCTGTACTTTACTAAGCCCAATGTCATTCTCTATGACCCCTCCTGATAACGCTTCCAAAGTACACAAGACATTCATATCATCCTCATTTCTAAGTAATATTCTGCCTATATATCTTGATGTTGACTGTTCATTATATGTGTTAACTCTAGTTGGTTTTTAGCTATAAAACAGATTTTGACTCTCAGAAAACCTATTTGACTAAGAGGAATTGCCCCATCAGATGTCCAAGGAAGAGCCAAGTGCTTGTGCTCCGTTAGGGCTCATGAAAATAAAAACACCTCACTGCCATTAAGTCAATTCTGATACATAGCAATCGTATAGGGCATACAGGGCATGTAGAACTGCTCCTGTGGGTTTCTGAGGCTTCAGCTCCTTAGAGCAAAAGATGGCCTCATCTTTCTCCCTTGAGTAGCTGATGGGATTGAACTGTTGCTTTTGCAGTTGGCAGACCAACACATTTGCCAACACTTGGCCCCCTTTTCTCCAAATAGGGACTAGTATTGTTTCAATCCTCTATTTTCCTTATTGATCTTCTAAGTGTTCTAAACATTATTGACCTTGCTGTAATGAAGTCTTAGATTATTATTGCAAAACTTTCTGTGCTCCCCTTTTGTTCAGTCAAATGTTTTTTGGTCATGTTTTGAGTCTATAAAATGAGATATTTGTCATTGCTAT